TGCCCAGTTGCCTGGACGTACGTGTCTAGGTAAATACAAACCAACTGGATGAATATGGCCAAGGAGATCGATAGATACATCTCAAAATTGTGGTAGCAGTCGCAGCCTGCTTGCCAGCAGTTCTTCATGCATGTTCCGGTAGTACCGTGGAGACCAGTCCCCGTCTGTAGATTGCCCCGCAAAGTAAACATTGCGGGAAGTCACCTTTAGCTCAGATGTTTTTCACTACCTCCTGCATTTGGGCCCAAAAGTGGTTATTATCATCCCGTCGTTACATCTATCTGAGTCCAGATAAGACGATATTGTTGTTATACCTAAGTTTGCTGATTTCAACTGCCAGTGTGAGTACGCTGAGACAGGCCATACCCATATCACTACAGTTCTCAGAGATTTGGAGGATGGTGTTTGCTGCAGTAACAAATTTGGTAGTTTTTGGCCCAAAAGAGGCAGGGTGCTTATAGGTATGAAACTGTAGGTCACCCGGTCCCCAAATTGACTCCCGGTTTTTAAATTTGTGAGCCACGATCACGGTTTTATCATCATCGGCCACAATCATCCGTGTTTCCAGAAAGTCGAGGATACCTGAGCCGGAATCAGTTCTTTCCAAACTCAGTTCCTTAGGATAGCAACGCATGATTTTGTCAAAACGGTTATTTGCAATCTTCATTCCTGCGGGATTGTTTTTATCGAAGAATGAAAAAAGCAACAGATCGTCGACATACCTTTTCCCAGAGATGAACTTAACGCCGGTGCCTAAAGTCGAGATAAAGTTGTACTTAGAGTACATGCACATCACACAGGCTAATGACGGACTTGCCCTCCCGCCCATCGGAATGCCTTTCTTCTGGCGTAGGGTGGCATTAGAAACTAAACAGTGTGTTCCAGGTGGTACTGAGTAAGTGAAATCAGGGAGGTGAGTCAGATAGATTTCCATCCGGCCTCACCATGGGAATTCCCAAAGGTAGTCAGTTTTTTCCTTGTGTTGAGTCGGATCCAGCGTATACCTTTTTGCACGAAACACTCGGTAATCCATTGTACTGCGCGATAAATAACCTCATGGGGTAGTTGGGTAAACATTTCTTTTATGTCATACGTGCGGGCAATAACTCCACACTTAGACATAGGTCCGTCTTTCTTATTGATACCGACAATTGTCTGTGGAAGGTCTCCCAACGATCTGAGGTTAAAATGCGGTACCTTAACCTTACAAATCAAACAGTTCAAGGCCAGGGATAGGACACCAGACGCAACACGAAAAGGGCTTTGAAATGAAGGGACAATAGGTCTCCTTTTGTCTTTGTCCTTTTCCTTGGCCATAATATAGGCATACTGCAGCTTTTCCCGCCCGTCCCATTTTGCGATCTGTCCCAAGCCTTGCTCAATGTATTTGGTTCGAGTGTCATACAGGATACGACTTTTTTCAAAGTCCATAGTTTCATAATTCGAATTATTCAGAAACATTAATTGTAGTCCTGTTTCATACCGTTTGGGACACTCAATCCAGGTTTCGCAGGTGTTACAGTCCAGCGGGCCCAAAACCAATCCCGCGAATGCTTGCTTTACCCCCAGGACATATTCACTCAGGATACATCCAAAGGGTTTTGCCTCACCCTCTTTTGTAACCGAACCAAGGGGTATGCGAAACTGATTAGTTAGACCGTTCTTACGGATGACATCCAATGCCTCATTGCAGGCTTGATTGAGGCTATCCCGAGATGCCGTGGTCTCGGGAAAAGGGTTATTCTTAGCATTGGATAGGAATGGGTCTTAGCCACTTACTTCACTAATTTTGACCGCGACATGTCCATCGATTTTGGGCAAGTCGAAGTTGTCGCACACGCACTCAAAGGTGTTTTGTTGTGCAAAGAGCTTATGGTTATGCAGCAAATCTCCTACTGACTTGGCTTTCAACCAAACCGCACGAGTTTTTTTCGCATAGAGGTCAACTAGCGGAGTAGGCTGGACGTTCTCTTTAATCCAAATCTTCAGACCACTTTCCACCTTTTTCTTATCAATGGTCGTACAAAAGTGAATTTTTGCAACAATCTTAGCACAGGGGTTAATACCAAACTTCTTTTTACAGACATTCGTTAAGATACCACGAACTATGTGTCGACCGTGGGCTTGATTGATATTTTTGACCGCGGCATCCAATTCGAGAATATCGATGAGGCTGCGTTTGACAAGGTCTTTCCTTTTCTAGGGGGCCCGGAGAAGTGAAATGACCTCAACTTTTTTAGTATCTGTTTTCGTTTGTGTTTGAGTGAGTTGGGTGATAGTCCATTTCCCACCTCTTTCAATTGCAGACCTAGCATCTTTGAGCAGCAAGTTTTCATCATCAAATTTCACCTTACTGTGCCCAAATAACAGAGAAACCAAACGCCATGCTTTCATCCATCGCCCGCCTGTGTTGTTAGTTATGGTCACAAATTTTGTAGTCTTCTTTTTAACCAATGCCTTTAGGACATGAAGCAAATCAGGTTTATTCTTCACATCCACATTCGTACAAGAGAACACTAAGGGTTCCAAAACATCGGCCGAGGTTAAAGGCATACGAGTACGCTTCCCGCGCGATCTACGTGGCTGCCGTCGTTTCGCAGTACCTCGTGAATTCAAACCAGGGTTCACATTCTTTGTAATGGATTGCTCCATGCATTCGATCACAGGTTCATCCCCAAACCAGATTGGTATAGGGATGTACGATTCAAGACCAATTTTTTGAAACCAAGAGTGAACCTTCTGCTTACTATTACCACGTACGGCACGACAGTGTTCGGACCATCGTTCGCGAAGCGATCTGGCAGTCTTCCCAACATACACTAGTTTATGGTTTACCGAAAGCAGAACATAAACGCAACTGCGACCATCGACCAACCTATCTCATTCATCACGGTTTACGCGTAACCAAAATCGGACGTACGTTAGCACCCATAGCACAAATCCCTTTAGACAAGCAAGGATAGTAAGAAGTACTTGAATGCGTTCTAGTAGGCAGAGCGGCGAAGGATCAGCAGTCTTCGCATTGCTAATCTGGTTAACTGCCCGCCTAATAGATCTGATACTACCCAGTCTTAGTTTCCCTTTACAGTGTCACGATCTTCCTTGACGTCGTCGTGGTCTGATTCAGCTGAAGTCTCCTTCCGGCATGATTTTTCACCCTGATCCTTTTTCAATGAGTCGGCGTAATCCTCCAGGTCTTGTCGAGCGAGCTTCCACACAGCAACGTCCTTCTTGAAGTACTCGACTTCACGTTCTTTACATAGCTCCTGCACACGTGTGTAGTGAAGAGAGTCGAAGAACTCGGCTCGCACCTTCATGTACGTTGCAAACCCGTCCTCATCAGGGTCTTCGTCATCACCCTCCGCTTGGGCGTTCTGTACGACTTCGGTCGCGCCAGGGCCCGTACCAATCGGGCATTTATTAGTAGTCCCGGGGTCAACGACTTTAGCCTTCCCTTTCGGATCTTGCAGGCCACTCATCAGCGACGCGAGCATTCGTTTTATATCAGACAACTCACTACTTGTGCTTTCCAGCTTAGCTTGCAGATTTTGTTCGGTACCAGAGGGACCTTCGTCATCGAAGAGTTCGATGCGCTTCGGCTTGGTCTTCACGCTGCCTTTGGACCTTGGTTTTGCACGAGCGGCGGATGGGGAGTTCTCCACCGAGGTGCGAACAACACCCCGCTTCCGTTTCTCACTACTAGAGAGCTCCTTGTTATCCTTGCCTCCTTGTACCTCCTTCCGCAGGCGTTCCAACTTATCACGCTCCGCCGTATCCAATTTCGATTTCTTGTCCACTGCCTCCAATTTTGAATTTATGAGCTTCAGTGATCCACCAAGTGTAGTGGTAACCCAAGCTTTCATGTCCTCGCTCTTCTCTGATGAGCGTGCGTCATCTCCGCTCCCTTCATCTTGGTACTCCGAAGCCCGGGAACTGCTCCGCTTCGCAACGCCGATCCGTGGCACTCCAACCTTCTTCCTCGCTTCTTCAATGGCCTTACTAGACTTGATGTTCTCCAAAATCTCCATGTATTCCTTGGTAAAGTAGGCCCGATTTCCTGGTCCAGGGAAATTATTAGCCGCTGGGCCTTTACCTCCTCCACTTGATGCGGAGCTACCGCCATGCCCGCCATGGAACCCTTGAGGATTCGAGTGTGCAGCAGGGGGCTGTTGTGGCAGTGTCATCGGAACAGGCGTTTGAACCGGTGCTTGCGCAGCCACTGCGAACTGGGGTGGATTCCCAGTCCAAGATGCATTCCCTTGTCATGCCACGGACTGCTGATGAGGTGTACCCCATGGTTGCGAGTTCCACTGGTTGAGTGCAGGATGGTACTGAACAGGTGCTGCTGTCGGGGCAGATGGCATAGATGGTACTTGCACACCTGATGGTTGGTGAACCGTTCCTCCAGCGTAATATAGAACGCCTGGAGGAGCCGGGTTCGCGATCGTGCCCGGAATCGCCGAATATGGTATGCTTGCTCCAGCTTGGTGTTGCGCATATTGATTATTATTCGCTCGCTCTATCCAGTACCGGTCGCAGTTAGACCACTTAGTGCGTCGACTGCCGGTCTTCCCGCCTCGGCTTCTCGGGTACATGCGCCCAGCGATAAAGGAAAAGGCGCACAAGCTGATGCCAATATCGATAACTGCATCGATAGCTCGCGGGTGGTCCAACCAGCTGCTCGCTTCAATGGAGGCGACAACTTTAACCACCATACCCAGGTCGCACTCTGTGATCGTTGTCCACGGTGGTACAGAGGACGCCTACGAACTTAGACAGAGCCACACAGGGTAAACACATCGACATAGGACGGGAACAGGGAAAAGGAGGAGAAGGAGTCTATCAGTGCAATAACGTGCTCGAAATGTAAACAACGTCGATACCAAATACACCCATTAAGCCCATTATGTAAAATTGATCCACCACTCAAGTGTGGAAATACAAAGGAATAACACAAATAAAATAAAGGAATTAAGAGAAACGAATAAGAAAAGAAAAAGAAAAGAGAAGAAAGAAAAAGCGAGATCCAATAATTAGACCATCAATCAATGATCGATAATCAATAGCCAAACAGATATCAAATATTCTGAACGCACGACTCCATAGAACATAACTTCGGACGAAGCAGAGTCTCATGACGACGGCACCTCAACCTCGTTCCCAAGCCACGGCAAGGTCGACATACACACACACACATAGAAACACACACACACACACATACACACACACACACACACACATACACACACACACACACACACACATACACACACACACACACACGTTTACACACAAATATTAAAAGGTCCCAGAAAAAAATATATATATATAAGTATATTTTATCCATTCCAAATATACACAAAAGAAAAAAGAAAAAAACGTAAAAAAAAAGAATACAAAGAACTGCCAAGCAAAAATCCCTCCCCCCAAAAAAACTTTTTTTTAATTTTCTTTTGAAAAATTTCTCTTCTCCACCTTTTCTGTTTTTTATTTTTTATAATTTTAAAAACGTATCTTTTTTCAAAAAAAAAAAAAAGAGGTTGTAGGGATTTAAAATCCCTACAACCCCATATATATTGTTTTGTTTTTTACCCATTATCTAATTCAGGAAAAATATGGCAAATTCGCCTCCGCGGCGCGGACCAGGTCGGTCGTGGACGAGGGCGTATATATGGCCGCCATCCGAGCTCGACCCTGCGGACGCATCCGCGAGTGTTTCATAGATCTGACCGCGTTTAAGCGGTAGATTCATTCAAGTTTGTTCATCATGAAGACCGAAGAAGCAAGGAGAGTCGGGCCAGGGATTGGAGACTTACCGGATTGCTGGCGGTTTGCTCGACGTACCGAACAAAGTGGCTCCTCGTCATCTCGGCAGTGCGGTGTGCTTGCAGCTCGAGGGACTAGAGGTTGTGGCACCTTGGGAGTTCATCTCACGATCGGTGCATTGACTTGTTGCCCCGGAGCTACGCAGAGTGAACCTCTGACCGTGCTTGAACGTACTAAAGCACAGGCAAAGGGGACAAGGGATTAAATGGCGGTGTAAGTCACGACCTGGACACTAATTTGTTGTAGTTGCTCGGCTGCAACTGTGTCACGGGGTATTGCAACTGCTGATCCTCGGGCTGCCTATTCACTGCCTGTTTATTGAGCTTGACGCGTTATCTCGCTGCACTTCACTGCCATACGTAGTGGCTGCATTCTGTGCAAGTTGTAGTTGTGGTGTGCACAGTACCTCGCTGTGTCTTGGCGGTGTTTCTCCATAAAGAGCACCAAGGATGCGTTTTATATGAATGTCATTCCGTTAAGCTCGCAGTGACGAATTGGCTCGGGGGCAAGGTGTAGTGATTTTGAAAGAAATGATCATGCCTTGCAAAAGAGGGGTCATTGCCGCAACTTGGAGGAATAACTGAGCCTTGTTGAGAGGGTTATCGCTACGATTTGGAAGGTTGTCAGAAGGTCGACAACCGACAGTTTGACGTCTGTTGACGAAGTTGTTGTGCATTCTGGCCATCATTGCGAGGCCCTCAAGAGTACCAAGGCAACAAGACTCTCTCCTAAGAATTGAGTTTGTCACCCTCTTGTATCTCGAGAGTCTCAAACCCCTTCTTCTGCCCTTTCACTCTAAGTCTAGTCTATTCGGTTACGAGAGGAAGGCGACAGGCGGGATTGCAACCCGTAAGGCCGCATCAAGACTCTATGGGGAGTTCACCCACCGATTGCGGGAGCTCTGCCGGAACCTAAGCGAGGTTCTGGAGGCAGGGAACCATCCGGTAAACCGTTTCTGTCCGTATGACCCAATATACCCACGTTGACTATTTCTCTGTAGTTTGACTGATGTTTCATGTGTATCCCTATGACTTGCTTTCTTTCGGGGTTCAATCAAACTGAATGGAAAAAATGTATGAGAGTGAAGTTTAAGTTTCATTTTTTTTTAAAGAAGACAACTGAAGGGGAGTGAACTGAGGAAAGGTGGGAGGAAGGTAGACTGCATGTGTTTGACCGGGTCAATCAAGGGCTGACATCGTTTCTAAGCTTAATGGCCCAGGGCTATGTTTATTTGGCTGTTTTCTGAAGGGTCAGGCATTGTTTCTAAGTTGAATGGCCTGGTTGTTGTGTTTATTTTTTAAGTGTTTGCCTGATTTGAAGGGTTTAAGTTCTTGTTTAATTATGAGGGAGGATTTTAGTCTAAGGTCAAACATTATTTCTAAGCTGAATGGTTTAGCCTGAAAACCACGCACATAAGTATAAACTTAGTATAAAAGAAAGTATTTTACTTATATTTGCATGTGAACTGGCAGTTGGGCATTGTTTCCAAGCCGAATGGTCCAGTGCTAAGCCATATCACTAAGAAAAGAAGGGAAGTTACATAGTATAATTGGAAGTAGTCTGGGCAAGCTGAACATTGTTTCCAAGTCGAATGGTTCAGTCCCCCGCCCATATTTGCATTTTCTTTTAAACAAAGTCAAAAAGTTATTATATTTTGGATATTAAACAATTCAGGGCGGCGAGACATTCTTTCCAAGTTGAATGGTCTAGTCAAATGTCCAAAGAAGAGAGAAGTAGTAGTGCAACCTGTTCGTGTATATCTTAAGGCACGTTGGACATTGTTTCCAAGTCGAATGGTCTAGCATTATGTCATATGTAAGTTGGGTGTACGGGTTGAATTACTTAAGGATTCATTAACTATCTTATATAAAGTGACTTGGGGTTGGTGATAGTACTTACCTTACTGGTTTGGCCTTGCATGTGACTGAGTGAGATTACTACTTGGTCTAAGTTTCAGTATGATAGGTAGTTGCTTAAGTTGCTCGCCACATGCTAGAGCCATAGGAGTTAGTTGCGATTCCTGCATTTTTTTAACTAAGTTTATTTTTACTTAGGTCGATTTCTACATTTTCTGGAATTTTTTATTATAGTTGGTCTTGTATAAATCTTGGTAAGCTACTGTCTTTACGGGAAGCGCTGCCAAAATTTCTACAAAACCGAGGAGTTAGTCAAATTTTATTTTTTTCAGGGTATATTTTTTCTGACTTTTTGACGTAGTAAAAAATGGAAAACCTGCTTTTCTAAACGGGGTGCTGGTCAAATTTTTTCTAAATCAGAGAGTTAGACAAAATTTGACTTTCTAGAATTTGAAATTGTTTTTGCTTTCATATGTGAGTTGGTGTAAATTTTGGAAAGACACTTTCCCTACGGGCGGGAAGCGCTGCCAAAATTTTATTAGTTTAAAGGAGTTAGGTTCTATTTTAACAAATGGTGATTCTTGTGATCCACCCTGTATGGGGGAGATTCTACCATAGGTCCACCTGTCCTTGGGCACTTGCTTAGAGGTAGACTCAGACTCAGTTAATTAGGAGGATTTTGAGTGTGATCGTGATATGAAGATTATCCTCCTGGACCATGGATTTATAAGTTTAGCCTGGGGTATTGACCTGTCTGGTGTTATAGGTCTTCTTGATCGTTTGATTCAAGATTTGGACTAGATTCAGCTTGATCCTACAAGAATCACTTTCTGTTATCAACTTATCATTGATAACATGTCGCTTGTCGATTCGTCGGTTTACGACTCAACTCCAATCCACTCCTGTCACTCAACGTAAAGGATTTAGCCTTATTATTTGAATTGTTTCGTTGTGTTTTCGCCCAGATTTTATTTGAATGACCATTAAAGAAAAGTACTGAGTATTTTGTTTTGAGGAGTTGCACAAGAGTGAGGCTTGTATGACTAAAAGCAAGGGGTGTGAGTGCAACGAACGGTTGACGTTGACCCCGTGTAGTGCATGAAATTTTGGTTGAATCTTTGATGTGATTGCAGGTATGTTTGGTGATTCGGACTTTGGATTTAGCTGCCTGCGCTCACATATATATATATGGCTGAGAGGAGTCCCACTGTGACTGTGAGAAGTGATCATCCTATACTAATAACCCTCTATATATATGTAAATACATATGTCTTGAGTGTTTCATGCGGCCTACTTTGACAGCGCGTAAGGGTTAAACAAATTACGTTTTCAAGAGAAAAAAAACTTCCCCTTTTAGTCTTTGCTTTTTAGAATTTCTATGGTTGGACGTTGTAGCAGCCGTCAAAATCAAACCCCTTGATTTCTCTCCAGACCCTAGATGATGAAACTGATCTCCTGAGCGATAAGAGAGGATTGCCAACACAGGTATGAACCTGTGTACCACCCACTCTTCGCAGGGGGCAGAAGAGGGTGTGGTTCTCAACCGCACTTAGCGGTTGTCCAGCGTTGAGAGATCAATCCCTCAAG